GGCCTGGGTTGTTTGGTGGCTGCTCTTATATGTTTTCTGGTTCTAATGGGCAAAGCGGGGGAAAAGATCAAGATTTACAGGGTTCATTCTTACACCTGCAGCATATTTCTGGACAACCAAAAAAAAAAAAAAAGGAACTCATAAAACATTTGTCTGTTTCAGCAAAATTTAGTAGCTTAAAACTTCCCTATTTAGTAATCTGAAGCAGTTTTATAAAGGTTTAAAATTTTCCACTTGCTTTTCAGTGTTATCCATTGTGTCCAAACTCCTCCATCCATTTTCTATTGGCTTCCCTCCTCTTTTACCTCCAAAGCTTTTTATTGTTGTTGTTGTTTGTTTTATTTATTTTTCATTGTTGTAAAATACACATAACATAAAATTTATTACCTAAACCACTTTTGAGTGTAAGATTCAGTAATCTTAAGAATATTCATATTGTTGTATAGTTTTCAGAACTCTTTTTTTCTTTGAAGTCTGAAACTCCTATAGTCATTAAACAATAATTTGCTATTGCCCTCCCTGCTAGGTAATCTCTAGTCTACTTTCTGTCTCCATAAATTTCACTCCTCTACATCCTCATATAAATAGAATCATACAGTATTTATCTTTTTTTGGCTGGCTAATTTCATTTAGCATAATGTCTTCAATGTTATTCATGTTATTATATGTGTAAGAACTTTCTTCTTTTTATTTTTAAAGGCTGAATAATGTCCCATTATACGTATATACTACAGTTTGTTTATCTACTTAGCAGTTGATGGACACTTGGACTGCTTCCCCCTTTTGGTTATTGTGAAAAATGAAAAATGCAGCTATGAACTTGGCTCATTTTTAAAAACCAGTTCTCTTTGAGAATTCATTGCTTGCTTGCTTTTGGTTATATAGCCAGAAATGGAACACATGGTCATTCTATTTTCAATTTTCTTTCAAACCATACCCAGTTTTATTAAGGATACTCTTCATAAACAATCATGTTATTTCAGGCAGGACATGGGCTGACAGTCGTCAACAGGATACAACAACTTTCAAACTCTGTTCTTAGTTGAACTACCAAAATCATAAATCCACTATAAAACCCAGTGTGACACTCTGAATAGGGAAAGTTTAGAAAGAGTTGACATTTCGCATTTAGCAATTTGTTTAACATCTTTCTATAAGTCGACCCTGACTTTCAAGAAGTGGAATGAAAATGACAGAATTTGGGGAGAGTCAAGTTCCAACAGGTCTCTGGGTGTAGGGTAGTGGATCTTCTGGCACTCTGATGGCAGAGTGGGAGAGGGGAACATAAGGAGAATTTGAGTTTTTCTATACCACAAGGCATTTGTGCTAAGGTGACTGTGTGTGCAGATGTCAGGGAATTTCTCTGGGAAACAAGAGGAAGCTTCTCAAAATTAGCAGGGAAACACATTTTCCTCACAGCAATCCAGCTTTGGAGATATACTATAAGCAATGTATGCTCCTTCCTACCCCCTAAATAACAATGAAGTATTCTGTGTGCTAATAACATAGTCTTAAAAAAAAAGAAAAACAAAATTTTGCATTTTTATAAAAACTTGATAAAAGTATTTCAAATGTACAGTCACCAGTAGTTATCAAAAACGCACACACATCCCTTGGCTTCTGCGGCACCTTCAGCTTTCTGTGACTGGTCAGTTTGGGCATCTCCAGTTTACCAGGGCTCTTCGCATTCTTGTCATTGTCAGATTTCCCCCTTTTCCCTTTGAGTACCACTATCTCTTCCTTCTTTGCAGGGGTCCTTTTAGGTTTAGGCTCTGGCTTTGGAGGAGCAGGTTCTTCAGACTACCTTGCAGACCTTCTCTGTGGATCATCTTTCACCTTGGCTTTTTCTCCATTCACACCTCCTTCAGCCTTTCTCCTAGGCATGACCCTGATTGCAGAGGGAAGTAGAAACTACCAAGGAGATGCAGCAGCACAAGGTTCTGGTTGGTCAGGTATCATTCTTGGCTCCTCTTCTTCACACTGCTCCCTATTTTTATTTTTTTTTAAAAAAACTTTTATGTTGTTTTCCATAGAAGCTGATTTTACATTTCAACCAATAATGCTCAGGGATTCCATTATTTTTTTCCCCGAATTCTTAGCAATACTTGTTGTTTTCTGTGTTTT